AAAGGGCAAGTGCCGTGGAACTGACTGTAAGTGTTTTCCATCACATTCAATGCGGGTAGCTGCGCCTATGATTCCAACTACAATTGTACATCGGCAGGGATCTGGGCACCCTAGAATAAAGCAAGACGATAAAAATGTACTAACTGAAAGTTAATGAGGCTCTTTAGTGATACTCTCTGAATGTGTGCATTCGAATACTCTGAAATGATAGCTGCCATCTAGTTATCTCGTGAACGCTTCGTACCATTCCAATGAAAGACAAAACAAATAAGTCATTAGGTCGACCAGCTGCACCACAGTTTCTTTTAAAACTTACCCCACTTAATTTGTTTGTGAAAAAAACTCACTTTCAATGACAAGACGGATTTCTTCTTTGTCAAGATCGTCCTGTTTCTTCACTTCACAGCTGTACTTGTCATTGTTTTCTTCAGTAATGGTCAATTGATATTTGATACTTGTACTGTTCTGTACCATGCTGCCGTTCTTTCTCCAAACTATAAATGGTGCTGGTGCACCCTGCGCTGGACACCAAAGAGATGAAGTTTGGTTGAAAAGAACAAATTGAGTTTTGGCCACCTTGTCTAGAAAATTTGCCACCATAAAGATTTTCTAAAGCTGACGTTTAGAGTGTTAGCCCTTCGTCAGGGCGAAATGTTTCGCTTTGCGAAGAGCAAAACCAAATTATCTTGTAATATACCCTAGCGAACAACGAAGCACCACAATTTCTTTAAAAACTTACCCCCTTTAATTCGTTTGTGAAAAAAACTCACTTTCAGTGACAAAACGGATTTCTTTCTTGTCAACATCATCCTGTCCGTTCACTTCACAGCTATACTCGTCAGTGTTTTCTTCTGTAATGGTCAGCTGATATTTGACACTTGTACTGTTCTGTACCACTCTTCCGTTCTTTCTCCAAACTATAAATGGTGCTGGTGCACCTTGTGCTGGACACCAAAGAGATGAAGTTTGCTTGAAAATAAGAAATTGAGTTCCGACCACCTTGTCTAGGTTGGGTTCAACTGCAACAAAACAAATAAATGAAATTACCAAATGAGTTGGAGTATTCGTGATTGCCATATATTCCTTCCGTGTTGCGACCACTTATTAACATTTTAGAATTGTTTCAGTTAGTAATTTCAGAGGACAATACCTGTAAAGTTGAGTGTTTTGTTGGTGTACGAGCCCCGAAACCTGCCAAAATCATCGAAATGATCTGATTTTCTGATCCACAAGTTCTGTCCACTGGATCGAACAATACCAGACATTTTCCCTCCGCAAAATACACCAAGAAGATTGGCAGACTTGTTGTATCCATCACGAACCTCAAGATACATATCATCAATGCATGGTGTTCCATGTGAAGTCTCCAAGCTGAAATTCAATTCCACATAATGTCCCTTTGGAGCCTGCAAAAGTTTACTTGAGCGGAACGATGGAACAACTCTCTGAAGGCGTACTTCCACTAATAGCGCAACTGCAAAATCAAGAAGAAACGAGAGAACAAAGTGGGAGATTCCTCGCCCATATCTTGAGAGAAGTCAATTTCACCAAAGCTATTGAAAGATAATGTTAAATGGCGAGAAGCTTTCGCGCGCTAAGTGGAACAATACAAATGCACAACGAACTTAACCTCAGTCGTTCTAAGCTCTTGGATATCGTTATTTAGGTATTGCTTTCCGTAGGATACGCATTTGATCCGCTCTTACCATGTTTTGGTTTGCAATTGAGATTTCACAAATGAAATTTTAATCGAACGCCCTTTTGACAGACGTACTGTTTCCATATCGAAAGTAAATCACATTACTGCACGGGCGCGCGTTTGATTCCGAACAACAACAGGATAGAAGTCTCTTTTAAGCGTAGTGGATGAGGCGCGTTTTTTTTTAACGATTTTAGAGATGATTGTTTTTTAGTACAACTTAGTCAGTAAAAATTGAATGAATTGAATCGATAATTGTTTTGGATTTTTATCATCTGCGCTGAATAGTACTATCAAAATATAATAATATTAATAATTATAATATCACTTGCGCTGAATTATAATCATATAACCATGTCACGGACGTGGTCTGTAGCTCACGTGTTAAGTCGTGTTTCCCAGAGAGGAACGAAGATCAGACTCGACAAAGAGGCGGAAATCAACTTCGATACTGTGTTGTCTCAAAATTTACCAGAGATCGGCAACTTGAGTTTAGTAATTCTCTCTAGCAGAGGCTCTCCGCCGCATTTTCTCAGTGCACGTGTCACTCGCCATCTCACGAGTGCATCCTATGTAGGCCTGAATATTTTCGTTACATAAGCGGTATTCACGTGTGAGCAAAAACCAAAGGGTAACGATTTCTAATGCTTTGGAAATAAGATATTTAGTCCCTAAATTTGATATTCTGTTTAAAAAAACAACAGTGCTTACAGAAAGCAATACTGAAGCCCCAGAGGATCATTCTAGACGCCATCTTCCCGTTTTCAGCTGTTGGACACAGGGGAAGTTTGAATATTAAATGTGAGTTTAAGAATTTGATTAAATAAGACATTTTTTTGGCGGGTCAGGTGCCTTGTATGTTAGTTGAATAATCATAGATCAAAGATACCGAGGCTGTTTACCTCACAAAGTATTGGAAAACGACAAGATGCAGCTGTATCACAGAGAGCATATTATTTTTTCAAGTCACCGCTGCGCTTAACTGAGGCTTTAAGGAGAACTTCCTGAATCACATTTTAGTGCACTTGATAAAAAGAACAATTTACTACAGTTTAAAAATGTCCTAACGCCAGAAAGGTGGGGTTATAAAGGGATTCTTTTAAAATTTACTTCCCGTCTGCCTTTCCGGTTACATTTTCTCCAGTGATATGATTCCGCAGATGGTTCGTTTATTCTTACCTGTATTTCCGCTTCTGTGAAGGCGCCAATAATAAACGTGTTGCTGTTATTATCCCAGCGAAGAAAGTCTAAATAATAATTAAAAAGTGGTATGCGAAGAATCAATAACTTATCCTCCCTTTTCTAAGGCTTAAGCGCAGGACTTGATGGCAGATCTCAGTAACTATGAATTTCTTTATCAGCCCTTGAAATAAAAAGTATATATTTAGTAATTCATAACTGCCTTGTTTGAATATAGAGGAAATGAAAATAATCGTTTGTCCTTTAATATTCAAAGATCCGCCCTTTACTCGGTTTATTGTGTCATATTATAGTGATGTTTAATCTTATTTCTTCTTGTATGGACATTTTAAACTTAAATATTTAAATACCTGAAATGTATTTTCGCTTCTCCCTCTCTTCGATTCAGATCGAGCGGCCTTTAAATAGCAATGAACTCATAAACAGAAAGCCGCCTTTTCCAGATCACTATCTTAGAATAAATATTTTCACGACAGCCCTGTCCATTCATTCCAAGTTACTATGGGTACACATTCTCTAACATCTGTGCAGCAATTGTGCTTTTAGCCAGTTTTGAATTTTTAGAAATATAATCGACATGATGTGAGTCACCAACACATTATTAAAGAAACGCTAATCTGACAAACAAAAAGAACAACATTTTATCGAAAATCTTCTTAAATGTAAAATGCTGTAAGTGCTCGAAAAATTCTATCCCCTCCCCCTCCCCTCGAGGAGGATGGTTTTTCCGGGAAGTGGTCTGATAGGAGATCACAGAATGTGCCTTAAAGGGGACAAAAGTGGTGAAACCGTGTATTTGCAAATTCCTTAAGGATAGCCATATCGAAATTAAAAGGAAAAGCTCAATACCAGTTGATTGTACGTACTTTACTATTTCAATCTGACAAGCGTTAGACTGATATTTAACATTTATTCATTGAAGTGGAGGTCAATAGTGGTGGATATTTCCCTGGCCGCAGAGCGGTGAGGTAAATATTCACAAATATCAACTGTTTTGGCATAGGCAAAACAGAAAACAAAAATTATATTTCCGTCAATATATCAAAAAAGTGTTAGAAATTAAATTGCTAACGCACAATTTTGTCACTTTGGCTGCCAGGAGGTGAGTACTATTTGCTAATCACTTCAATCAGCGCACGCGATAATTACTTGTCAACTGTGTGGTATATACTAATACGTTATATGTTTTATTACATTCGTGACTCTAATGAAAGACTCGAGTCAATATTGACATATAAACAGGACAAAAAAGGTATACCGTACCGTCCCTCACTCCCACCTACGAAGATGCCCTGTTATCTCTGCCTCTATCAGATTCGATAATGTTTTTTTTTGGTTTGTTTTTGTTTGAATCAGTTTCTTAAGAATTTTTAACTGAGACATCTCAGTGCGACAGTACAAAAAATGCAATTTTGGGCCCGGAATTTGTTCAGCGTGTAGGTCAGTGGACTTCCTTTTCCTTGTAATTTGGTTCACAAAGTGTTAACTTCAGCACTGATCACACAAGTATATCTGTTGCACTAGAGTCTGAGCCAATGATATAAATAAAGGTATTTGTCAGCGTTATCATTGTTTTGACGTCCATCAATTTTATGCCAAAAGCAATCAGTAGAAGGGTTTGTAGCCAATGTTTCGCGACCTACGTCTCTAGCAAATAAAAAGACTCCGATTAATATCAGCAAGCCCACAATATGCCATGAATATTGGTCAGGGGATACTTTGGTGCAACAGCTGTCACTTTAACATCACAATGTGAATGTCCACATTAACAGTGATGCACTAACGCAGTTAAACGATTGCACTGAAGGCTTACTACATTCAGGACTAAATGTTATTACATTTAGGACAGTTGTTACATTTAGGCCTTAACTTCAATAACAGCTACCCTGAGATATCGGAGCAAATCCCTCAAAGCCACTAAATATATATATACAAAAAAAAGTTCCGAGAAAAAATTTAGATGCACTCAAATTTACGATGTGGAGACTTGGGGGCGAGCGAAACGATCTGCAAGGATCCGAAATCACTACAACTTTAGTATCTTGGTTCTGCTTCCTATTCCTCTGGCTGCCCACATCTTCCATAACCTCTGGAATGCACCTCATGCCTTCTGCATTCTGTTCCTAATATCTTTACTGCCTCCACCTTCCTTGTCTACAATGGCTCCAAGATAAGCAAACTCCCCGACATCTTCCACTTCTTTACCATCCACCACAATGCTCACCATGTCCCTAGCAACCTTAGTAATCAGTGTCTTGCACTTTCTTGAATTAAGTTGAAGGCCTACTCTGGCTGCTTTCTCAGTCAATCTAACAGTTTTTTTTAAAAACTAAACTAGTGAGCAGCACTCTGCGAACAGAAGTTGTAAAACTTGTTTATCCTCCGACGTGTTTCGTCTAACTGTGGGCCCCCAAATATTTTGATCTCCTTGCCTAAGAAATTTTTAATTTTGTTCACAACTTCGCCTGTTTCTGTTCGTAAGTCCAGCCGAGCTTAAATGGTCATTGGCCCCCGTAATAGCCATACTGTGACTTATAAATACAAGCGTTTAGCGTTAACTGGCAGAAGAGAAGAACTACTGCTCGCAGAGTGCTGTTTACTAGTTTAGTTTTTAAAAAATATATTTATTATTAACTCGACAGGATAAGAATTGTTGCATTAACCATTTCTATGTAGTATTTGTTGCTGTTTGTTTAGTAATCGATGAGTTTTAAAAGCGCCTTATGCTAGAAGTGTTGATAGATATCGAAATGTAACAAACATATCAAGGTTATAGCAAAAGCATGTGTTTGATCGGGCGCGACACAAACAAACTGTTAATCCAACAGAAAAAATATAATTAAAAAAACCTGCAATAGCAACAATTTCTGAACTGAAATCAGGGGAAATCTTTTCTTGAGGAATTAGGTAACAACCAGATAAAGGAGCTGCCACCTAGAGTCTTCAATAACAACACTGAGTTGATCAAACTGTACGTAACCTGCCTCTTCTGATAATAGCCTTTAATGTGACTTTAATCTCATTATTAACGAAAAGTGACCGAGAAGGTCCTCAAGCTTAGTGGGTGTAGTCAGCCATGAAGAGGGTGAAAGAGAGTGGGACAGTTCATAGATGGACGGAGTTAAACAGAAAAGAGTAACTTACCCTCATTAACAATCCTTTCACTTTCAAAGATGATCATATCCTAGCATCTGACGTTCGTCCACATTTTGTAAATCCCATTTTTTATTCCGTCATAACTAATTTTTATTTGCCAGTATGAAAAGGAAATTTCAAGTGTTCTCTCTCAGAATAGGCTTGCACTTAGCACTTCTTTTCACACCAACACTGCAGTCAAACGCGAGCAAGATTTATACTTTGCCAAGGATTTTATAAAACAAAGCTTTCTTAACTTACAGGTGGTTCTACGACAACAAGGTCAAGAGTTTGACAAGCAATGCGTTCTCTCAGTTAATTGAGCTGCGGTGGCTGTAAGTGGAAGGTCTTCCTTGTATATCAACTATTACGAGTGTCACAATTCAAATGATAATCCGAATGGTCGCATATTCTTTTTCATCGATCACATCCTTCAGCCCTCAAATATCTTCGTAGCACACAGACCGATAACGAACGCCCAAAATCAATGATCAAAGATATAACGGCTAAATCTAACAACAGCCAAGATCTGGTTACTAAGATCAGTTACCCGGCAAAAGCCAAGCCTCGTACGAATCTGTTTTGAGTCACAAGTAAAACAAGGGTCGTATTACAGCCGAATCAATTACTTTCGAATTCAGAAATTGTTGGTTCCAAAATTTAAAGCTTTGAATAGCCCATCGGTCCAAGTAGTGTCTTTTCCAGGATATTTGAACTGAAGTAATTGTAACACTTTTTTAACTCTTCTCCACATACAGACAATTGAACGACAACAACCTAGCAGAGTTACAAGAGGGTTTGTTTGATGGTTTAAGACACGTCTGTGAGTATAAAAAAGAAAAATTTAAAGATACAAAGTGGTAATAGTTAAAATTATTCGTGTGACAAATCGGACACTGAAAATTGAAGGTGGAAGAAGTCATAAGTTTTGAGAAAGAAAGGAAACATACAAAAATATTTTTGTAGGAGATCCTTATTTTATACCTTAGTTATTACATGTTTGTTGGATGAATGAGCGAAATAATGCGCAGTAAGGATGTTCCAGTAGCTTAACAAAATAATAAGGGCCAGTATCAATGTTCTCCTCTTTTAAATGTAAAAGTATTCGAAAAGAAATCCCCGCAAGTTGCAACGGGGTTACGTTTGTAATTGGATGTACACTTATTTCATAAAAGCACATGATGGGTCTATTTCAAGCCGCTTAAAAAATTATTATTGAGAGCAATTGTATAATATTAACGTTACGGAGGGCAACGTGACTGGACTCAAAATCCGCTGATCACGAATTCCATCGACGGCCGAGCAAGTATCTACGAAGACCTAGTTACTCTGAGAAAATCGATCCGAGCCAATTCGGCGTTATCCCAAAATCTTCTAAGCTGCATGCTCTGATCATTCCAAAGGTCGTAGAAGCGCAATCCAAAGCGCTGTAAAAGCATTAGAGCAGTGGTCTGCTCACAACATCTTCAGTTGAACTCAGATAAGAGCAAAGAATTGATTATTGACTTCAAGAGAACCAACACCTGTTCGACGTTGTAACCGTCAACTCCGAGGAACTTGAACTTGTTGCCCAAACCACATATTAGGGGTAACCATATCTAATACCTTTAAATGAAATTGTCATGTCTCTGATGTAATCAAAAGGGCCAATAAGCTCACACATTTCTTGATATTGCTGAAGCGAGTAAATATTCCGGCTCATGATATCATGTGCTTCCATATTACCTGCATTAGGCCGGTGTTCGAGTGTTGTGTGCCCTTGTATCCCCGTGAATTGCTGCTTATTTAAGCGGAGACTTAGAGAGAGCGTGTTCAGATAATGAAGAACCATGTTCGTATTTACATTGACATATACTTTGCGCTATCCTCCTGGCTACTGTCAATAAAATGACAGAATCACTTTTAACTTAAAAACTCAAACTTCCTTTCCAAGTTAATCCTATCTAATGGCTAGTCACCTCACTGTCGGTCGCTAATGGCTAGCCACCGACAATACAAGGCCATTTGGAGTTTGAGTTGCCAATCAGAGCGCAGCTACAGCGCTATCCATTGTTTTAGTATAGACCAATACACGATAGCTAATGCTCAAAAGAATTATGTTAAAAAAATTATTTAACTAGTATCATACAGTCGCAAGCAGCAACAAATCAAGTCTATCATCAAAGTTGTTATTTTTGTACCGACGAAATGTCGTAGGGAACTACCCATCGAGCATACCTCAATTGGAGAAAAGCACAAAGACTCTCGAACTGTATTTTTTACTTTTTTATTTAATAAATCGGTTCTCCAGTACATAATTCTTCATACACCCGAGCTTTTTTTTATTCTTCGTAACTCTGGTTAATCTCCAAGTCTCTCAAACTTTAATTCTCACCGAGAACTTCTTCTTCGACCGCAGATTTCTGACTCTACTCTTTCGCACACTGTCTACCCTCTTCTAGTCTACTATTCTGTCTCTTCAATCTCTTCTAAGTAAACTGTGAAGAACTTGCCTATATACTCACTACTATGGTGGCCCACAAGTGTCACTGCTGCACACCGTAAAACAAACACCTTCCTGAATAAAGACTTGCTTCCTCTGTGAAATTGTTCTTATTTTCCGTGCAAGTGTAAGCCTTTTACACGGAAATTGCCCTCCTCTGAAGAAATGAGCCCTCTCCGTAGAAATCAGCCTTCTCCTTAAAAATTAGCCTTCTCCTTAGAAATGGGCCTTCTCCGTAGAAATCAGCCTCCTCCGTAGAAATCAGCTTTTTTCGTAGAAATCAGCTTCCTCCGTAGAAAGCAGCCTTCCTCGTAAAAATCAGCCGCCTCCTTACAAATCAGCCTTATCCGTTGAAATCAGTGTCCTCCGTAGAAATCAGCCTCCTTCGTAGAAATCATCCTCCTTTGTAGAAATCAGCTTCCTCCGTAGAAATGAAGATAAATCAAAGAACTGGTACCTAGCACCCAGGCTTCTCTCTGATAGCTGCTACCTTTCCCGCCATATTTAATAGTGACGAACTTTTGCAGCTCCTGTGGCGAAAATCTGGGCTAGTATTCCACGCCGAATTATTGCCCCAAATGTGGCACGAAATTGCAGGCAGGTTAGTGATCGTATCTTTTTTTTGGCTTTGTTTGAAATGTTCCTGCATATTTCATATAAAGCCTGATGAACAATGATCGAGTGAGCCAATTAACCTGCTCCAAGCAAGAGGTATTAACACCACATATTTCAGGTATTACATTTCAGTGTAGCTTGGTTTGGGTGTTGTCCCTGAAAAGCCCTCATGGGAAGTACAGCGGTCAATGAATATTATTTTGTCAGTAGTGTGTTGTTGAGGCCTTGAATCCTTGCTTAATTGTTACAGTATTAATTTAATTAAAAGGAAGGACCAATAAACATAATCCGGGTGCACAATAAATTCTCATAGCGTAGAATGGCTATTGTTCTCGTGACATTTACTTACAGTTCAAGAAGACGCATAGGTCTGTCATAACGCTTATTACTATTCATGGAAGCCCAGAAAGAAGCTTTTTAATTGGTTGCTATGAACGCGCGGCAATACTCATTAACTTGAATGTGGCGGCAAACGGAATAATGGCTTTAGTGCGCTATTGTTACTCCCTTTGTTTGAATGACCACAACCCGCTTTTGTTTCTTCCTTCGTTTGAATAAACTCGGAGTAAGTTAAATACTTTACGGGGCTGACCTTAACTATCTCGCCATTTGAACGCAGCCTCTCCGTTTATTTGAAGATAAAACATCGGGTTGTTTTCTTTCACAAATGGAGGCACTATATGTACATGTAACGGATTGATCGGGTTGTCAACGAGCTCTGAAAAGAGCTCCCGATCGCTGACGTTTTCCATGACTTTATCCATTGCGCGATATGATCGGCTGTTTGAATAAACCAGCTGCCTTACTTTACTTACTTTTAAAATTCGCGGTAATAGTGAATAATTTTACAACTGAATTTATGAATGGTCTATTATTTAGTCTTGGTAACCATTGTTATTCAATCGAAGGCTTAAAACAATAGCTCGCTCGCTCAAGACGCGCCATTTTCAAACGCGAATTCAACCAGCAGTTTTCAAACTGAAAAGGATAGTGGTTCCCGTTGACCAATTTGTAAACTTTTTGCAGATTCTTGATGAGAAAAGATGAATTTTCCATAAACCGTGCGTGGGTTGTTGAAATTCAGTAAAAGTTTTCAGAAATTTGCTTTGGAAAACGGACTCCATACAAAAAAAGGTCAATTTTTCCTTATTTTCAAGTGCAAAAGGATACTCCTTCCACTTGTTCAATCTTCTTTATATTAGTCTTAAATTGTTGATACAACATTCCTCTTCAAAATTCCGTGCGTGGGTTTTAAGACTTTTAATTCTTGAAATCAGGAAAGCAAGTTTTATCAACGCTACTTGGCCAATTATGGCCCTTTCTTCTCTAATTTTGGGCTTTTCAGAGCGCGTATTTGCGCTTCGGTGATCATGAATACTTAATGAATGTCACAGCATTCTGCCCTATGATTGATTTAACGTATAAAATGTTCATATTTCGAAATATTTATCGTTGTAAATCGACCATATTTCGTTCCCCATGCTATTCCTTATAACGCATCCCAATTCTCAACGGTTCCTTCTATAAGTTAACACCGAGTCACACAACATGTGACACTTTCATGAATTAATCGTTTGCTTTTTATCGAGACGCGAGCTTGGGACGCCTTTGTTCATACGAATCTGCACTCGAACTATCGCAAGAAGCCTTGCACCTCTCTGCTGTTTTTCTTTCGATATATTAACGAGTAAAGTTAGAAATTAACCAGGCGCTAATCTTGGTTGGTCGATGTTCTCTCGTGGGGAGTCTTAGTTCGCGGTAAATTCAAACTAAAAGTAGACTTGTCTGTGAAAACGCCGTGACAAAAATACAGGGCAGTTGAAGGTTTCAAGTGATGAACAAGAACAATAAGAACAATTTCACAGAGGGAGCAAGTTTTTATTCAGGAAGGTGTTTGTTTTACAGTGTGCAGCAGTGGCACTAGTGGGCAACCGTATATGAAAAACTCAATGTAAATGTCCAGCTTTGAAAGATACCGCATCAGTATACATTTTTTCTGATTGAAAAATTCACTTCGTTTTTTAAAAGAAAGTGGGGGAACCGGCTTATAAGAGAGTGTGAGGCAGTGCCCTTTTTCAGTCGGAAAAAAACATATATACCCATTAAATACGAAGGAAACCTGAGATTACTTGTGGTGGGTGACATCACATCTGAGAGGAACACGTACCATCAGTCGCTTCGTACTTAAAAAAAATCATTGAGGGCCTAAGCATAATCGCAGTCGCTCTGACGCCATCGTGATTAATATGAATTTTAATAGTTATTCAAGTTTGGCTGCAATATTATTTTTTATCATTCCTGTTGTGTTCTATTTTTTCTTTCTTTTTAATGGATCTCTTCGACCGAGAAAAAGCAAGATTAAAAAAAAAATACCAATTTAATTTGTTCTCTTTTATTTTATGTATAATGTTCCGTACATTTCTATGAATATAATGAGCCTGACCATTTGGTCGCTGCAAATATCCAAGTATACAAATAAACACAACTTCAAATAGCCAAGGTGTTTTTGATCCCTCTCTTTATTTTTATTTTTATCACAATGATTACAGTAATAATCCAGTTAAATACAGCATTTGTATTATTATGTAATTACTAACAAATAATTTTTTAAATCAACCTCTATGAACTCAATGGTGCTACTATAACTTGCACCTTTTTTGATATGCCAATTTATCAATTTGCTAAAACTTCATCTGTTAAAGTTTCATATCCCATATAAGCACATAGATTACTATTTTTGTTTTTAATGAGGGTCAACTTGTTAGATAATTCAATGAGTCAGAAAGCATGCATTTTCTGAACTCTGCAGAAAATATAAAGAAAAACCTGGTATTGTTCTAATAATGAAGCACATAACCAAGCAGGAAAAATGAGCAAGCATTAAATCAAAACTCTTGAAAACCACTTTTGAATCTCTTGTCACGGTATATTCTTATAGACAGAAAGAATACTATACTACTACAAACCGAACTACGTTGTTAAACAATGTGTGAAAACGCATGTTTACTAAGAATCGACTCCTTTAGGCAATACAGTGATTATCTTCTACAAACCACTACAGACTGTACCTTCTTCTCCGCCGATTCAAACTCTCTGTTTCTTTCCAATTCCCTTTAAATGCACATCTTTGAAGTGCATCACAGTAGCTCTATCTCACGGTATAGCTTGAAATGCACAATTGCTCCTAAATTACTGAATTCCTCAACATATTCTACAACATTCCGCAAGCCTACCACACTACTATTCTGTTAGAATTACATCATAATCACATAACCTGATATATCCAAGTCACCGTGAACAGGCATTCTAAAAATTTCCGGAAACGTCTATTTCATAATTACTTCCCATAACAGTTCTTGGTATTAAATCCTTTCGTTAAGCCAATTGACATATCTTATCGTGTTGGGGATGTTTTTAAGACAGCCAGAGATCACAAAATTAGCAAAACAGTTTTTTTCTAACTCGAGTATCTTATACGCATAATAAAAAAAAGAGATTGTGGATTTCTAATTGCCATTTCTTCTTGTTAAATTGCTTAGAATTTGTAATAATTTCCTCGAATTTAACTGCTTACAGTTTTGTTTCCTCTTCAAAAGTGTGTTCTTCAAGGACAGCTTCGGTAGCCGAAGGTGACTTTCGACGCGTTGAAAATCTTGATTTTTTCCCTCGTCTGTAAAAAAAAAATAGAACAAAACAAAAAGCAAAACAAGGAAAAAGAAAAGAATTACTCAATCGCTATTATCTTGCAAAAAAATCATTTGTGTAAAAAGCCCCGTTCTGTCATTTACTCAGTCAGTCAGTCAGTCAGTAAAACAGACTATCAATCAATCTTTCGGTTGGCCGCTAAGTTGGGCACACATATAGCAGTCAGTGAAACAGTCAATCAGTTGTTCTGGCGATTGACCAGCATTCGTTCAGTCAGTTGGTCAAGTAGTCAGTTGGTCGGTTGAAAAGTTGCTCAGTCATTTTGGTCAGCAACAGTCAGTCAGTCGGCTGGTTAATCAGTGAATAGGGAAGTTAGTGAATCAGTCAGTCAGTAATGTAAGTCCGCTAGGGACAGTCACTCTTTCAACCGTTTAGCCAGTAGGTTAAGGAGCTTCCTGGTGGGCAAATAAGCCAGTAATTAAAATAATTCAGCGGTTAGTTTGTCGGTGACAACGTCCATCAACTTTGTGATACGAACAGGATGTCTCTCTCAAGGAAAGTGAACTTGTGTATATCCCGCTGCTCACCACTTACTTCTTTTCGGTGGAATGCCTGAATTTATCGTCTCCTTTTTTCAAACTCTGGTTCCGTTTTCCTAACATGAAAAGAACAAAGTAAATAAAATCACATATTTGATGAGGTACTTAATGCACTGTGGCAACTGCTTAACTTGATGGCACTGGTTAACGACATTCTAAATGTAATTCTCTTGAAAATTAGCTTCTATGTAATAGGATCAACTTGGAGAGGAACTTCTATTTGCTGGACTGTAGGGTGATTCTGTTATTTCATGTACAGCATTCAGGAGAATGGTTTATAGTATTTATTAACTTTAATTTGAACATAGAGTTTTTATCATTTTTCTGTGCACCATAATGCATCTTATTGTGTGGTGCAGAAAAAAAAACAATTTTTCTGTGAACTCAACTTTCCATCTGATTCAAATACGTGATACGAAATTTCTTTGCGTTTATTAAGAGACTTCTTCCGGTTGTTGTAATCGGAACTTTAATTTTGTGATTGAGGTCACTGTGAGCCCGAGAGAAAATTACGTCGTTTAAGAGACTCAGAAAGTTCAAGCTCTTGCCCTCCTTGCTCTTTGTTAAATAAAAAAAAAAAAAAAAAAAAAAAAAAAGAAGACACAAATAAACAGAGAACTGTGGGGTAATCCGCAGGGTAATGCTGGAGAAATAAACCGAATTAGCTTCTTTTTGTTTTGCTTTGTTGGTTTGTTTGTTTTCTTTTTTCCGAGGTATTCCAAATAAATTTGAAGCAAAATTTGTTTAATTTGATGAAACAGCAAATAAAGGAAAAATGAATAAAAATACGAACGAAAAAAATTAAAAAACAACAAATTTTTCTGCAAGATGTCGGCGAAACGAAGAGGATATAATAATGATAAGACTCATCGAAATTCGCACCAGAACATTGCCCTTTTTGCGAAACAAACCCAAAGCCAAATTAAAACGGATAAAAAACCCGAAATACGTTGCTTTCGTGGTCGTGATATTGCATTCACCAGGTATCAAACACTTGTAATATTACACATAATTGATGGATGTCAAACTTAGGGATTTCTTCAGTGTTTTGTCATTTTCATCTTTTGCTTGACAATTTCTTGAAAGAATTGCTTAAGAATGTTAAAGCTCCCAAATAAGAATTACATGAGTCTATACTCAACTAGATGTTTTCATACTTATTGCCGTTCATTTTGTCCGCAACCTATTATGGAAAATCTCAACTTATTGCACCCAAATTTCGCTCATTTGCATTAAAGAATTTTATCTCTTAATCTTCTTTGAGGATAATTGATATTCTTTGAGTTGACCACCAGTTTTAGTGGTAAGAAAGCTAGCTGAGAAATTAAAAGCTACTTCATTCAGAGCTTAGCAATGCGTGAGGGAGGTAATGAGATTCTTAACTGATCGATACACAGGAGAGCTTGACAGTCCTTAGAAGGTCCGTCCATTTCTAATACAGCAACACTGGATAAGTTGTCAAACAAACAAAGAATAGCGACCAATTTTCTCATGGAAATGATAGGCTATAGATTTTTAATAAAGAAGGTAAGAAAAGTTACCTTGATTTGGATCAGCATACCCAATAGGTGCCGGTTCGATTCTTTCGGCTTCATCAAGTCCTCCTTGAAACAAAAAGGTAAATACTGTCATTCTTTTGTGTTTTAGACTAATAAACAATATTGTACCTTATTCTCCATTATCTTAGTATCGGTGATTGTTTCAGAATCAAGTTAGACTATTTTTTTTCTGTATTTCAGATAATGACAATGACTGGAGACAAAGAAATTTTTAAAAAACTTTTAAACCTGACAAAATTGTCTTAGAACACGAGATTCGTAGAATTTAGAACTAACGTAATAAACGATGAATGTTGGATAACTATAATGATGTAAATTAACTTTATCGATTTGTGTCTATGAGAATATCCAGCTGTTCCAGATCCCTCCAGAGGTACAGAAAAAGATAAAAACTACAATTAATACAACATATTGTAGAGTCTTGGCAATATAAACTAACAGAACAGCAATGAAAACTTCTGTACGGAACTGTTGTTTATATAAAGATGACATAAGAGGAGAAACTTTAGCCTACCCTGTTGTGAATGACGCACATCAACATTTGCCACTTCGATAACTACACCCTCGACTTCCCCTTGAAAAAAATATTAAATAAAACATATAGTCAGAGATTGCCACTGTGTTGTCATTCTCAGTTTTCATGATGTCCGTACTGTGTTCTTTAAAAAGAAAAAATGTCTTACCTCCCAAGCCGCCATGTTGTTCAATGTCTTCTTGTCTTCCATGCCCTGTTGGTTCAGTTGTTCTCCATCTCCTTGGCCTTTTTAAAGAAAGCAAAGAAAAAAAATTGTGAACGAGCCAGGAAACAAATAAGAAATTTTGTAACGAACGCAGAACGAGATTTACAATTTCAAACTATTAAAACGTAATGGACAAGAAAGATTGGGTAATTAAAATGATAATAGTAAACTTTATGTGTGTGTAAAGAAATATCCTAAAGTCACAGTTCCTTCAGTTATAGAGGACACATTACAAAATCACCAGAGGTACAATATAAACTAACAGAATAGCATTGAAAACTTGACATTGAATTAGAAACTCTAGCCTTACCTTGTTGTGGATGATCACACCAATTTGCCAGTTCATTTCTTCACCCTCACTCCTTGAAAAAAGAGAGACGAACAGATGAAATTTTCATGATATGTTAATTGACACCTTGGATGATTAACTTGCTCTCCCTCTCCTTGGCCTTTGTAAAGTAAAGATAATAATAAACTCTATTTGCGAACAGATGAGTATGAAAGATAATAATAAACCAGCAGTCAAAGATCCCTCTGGTAACAGAGCACACAATAAAATCATTAGGGAAACAATTCAAAACAAACAGATCAGCAATGAACACTTCAACACGGTATTTTTCTTCCAGACAAGAATTACATTGGATTAGAAAACTGCAGCCCTCCCAGTAAGGGATGATGCACACCAACATGTACCAGTTCCATTTGTTCACCCCCACCTTCTCCTTAAAATGAAGACGATATATGGAAATATTTTTAGTCAGAGATCGCCCTTTATTTCCCTCATTTACAGTTTTTACCATGTTTCCAGAAATACGCGTTAGGATTTACCTCCCTCGTCGCCTTGTTGTTCGTTGTCTTCTATTCCCTGTTGGTTCGGTTGCTCCCCATCTCCTTGGCGTTTTAAAGAAGAAAAACGAAGAAAAGTCAATGATCGAGTAGTTCGTACAACAAATGAAGCGACCAATAAAAGAACGAAGGAGCGAACGAGTGAATAAATGATTGAATGAATGCCTCCATGCATGCATGAGTGAATTGATTTATGAACGAGTGACTGAATGAATCAGTCAAAAACTTTATTCGCAGCAATCTATTAGTTTACACTGTTGTTCGGTTTATTTCTTATCAGGAGCTGTTAGCTGTATTTTTACTTCTTCAAATATGTGATAATTACATCGCACCTTCCTGATCACGACCACAGCAGGTGAAAACGGTCTTCAAGTAGTTCCAAACTTTTTCCATTTTGTTCTTCAGAATGCCTCTGACCTGGATACGCAATAGCCAAAAGTAATCGAGATTTCGCTCACTTCCTTGAACTGGGCTCCGATGACAAAATAGAAACTAACGAATTTCTCCTGTGCAGTGCTTTTAAAACATTTCAATGTCAATTTCAGGTAAAGAGAGCAGCCTTGAGCAAAATTATACACTGCTTCGAGTCGGCTGAAAACCATTACCCTTCCTGTAACTAGCCATTATTAATCTACTTACGGATCTAATTTATTATCTTGATTACTTATAATGGATTAAAAGCGCATAACTACCTGTTCTGTTGAAAAGGTGTACAGGATAGGATTCAAGGCCGAGTTGATCGGAAGGGCAAACACAGCAATCCAGACAGCGAGGTCTCCTTGCGCTTTGTAAGACTTCTCGATGATGGTCCTCATACCAATCACTATCACCGGCATCCAGCACACACAATCACTCAGGATGATGAAAAACACCCGCCTTGCAAGAGCCGTTTCCCTCCTAAAGTTTGCTCTTCTGGCCTGGATCTCTCTTTCAGTACCCTGACGGGCCAGTCGCCGGCTAGACAAGTAAGACTTGACTAGTATCATGAGATAAGCACCCATGATGAACAAGAAAAAAGCGAAATTCAAAGCGAGAAAGATAGCGACAGAATACTCCCAACCTGCCGGCTTATCAGAAGTAAGCTGCAAGGGCAGACATACCACACTTCTGCCATAATAACTATGGTACCTGAAAGGGTCTTCAAAATACTGAATACCAAACATGGGCAAAAAGGCCATAAGGAAGCCAATTGCCCATATGATGATGCATAGGATATGTGTTGCCTTTGGTTTCAGAGAAGCACCCTGATAAGGAAACACAATATTTTTAAGCCGATCAGCAGATATCAGAGTCATCATCATAACCGACACCTCACTTGACAAGAGGGAGATCGCTCCAATTATTTGACAAGACAAACCAGACCTCCACTGGAAGTCATGCAAGTAATACTCTCCTCTCCACAACAGATCTTTAGTGCCAATAGAGACCAGGTAAATACCCATCAAACCATCGGACACTGCTAAGTGGAGCAACATGATGGACTGAACTACGTTCTTTTCTTTAAAGATTACTCGCCAAGTGATAACAAACACTGCACCAACCAGAGAAAAGATTCCTATCGCCCAGATACTCTTTCTCGGGGCAGAATTCTTAAACATGCTCTCACAGTTGGCAAAGTCGTCGTTATCAATGAAAGCACATTCAGCGTCCTCCTTGTGCATATGACAACACATCAGATTTGTGTCCAAACTCCTGCAACCGTAAAATTTGATGCTATTCAGTTCATAAGGATGAAGTGAAAGATAAAACCAAAAGCCTATACCCTAAGAGCACAAAGATAACGCGAGATCAGTCCATCATAATTCATTTCCTCGTTTTTGTGACTATGAATCTAATATCTTCGAAAATTTTTCTTGCAATATTATAAAGCAATGTAGTGCGCAATAGCAGTCTTTGTGAGGCGTATTACCTAACAAAATGGAGGTTGTTATAAAAGTCGTCAATAGGGTAAGAATACCGACCATAGATATTTAGTAAAGTATAGAACCACTAACTCATTTGCCTGAAGCTCTGGGCTAGTAAATATTTGAATTAAAGGAACCCCCAGACGCTTTCTATTCATATAGCTCAGCTAATAAACTGTACATGTATCAAATACGTCACATCAAAATCTTACACTCGTAATATATCCTTCAACTCTCTAAAAAATCCGTAGGGAATCTCCCTCATGTAGTTATAATGCAAATATCTGAAAATTAGATATTTAAAGACAAGAATATAAGGATGAAATCAGTGAATAGAAGAGCATTTCTGGAGTATTGCTTCAAACTTAGTATATCGATTTGTGCTTTTTTAACTCGCGGATACGCGATAGCGTAGAATCGAGTTGTGGGCACTTTAGGATATGCAAATTAGCTTGGACTCTTCGTAATTAGTCGCAATTAGTCGCTCCGAATTCGAGATCTATACTTCCGAAGAAGTCCGAAGTCCTAACGCCATTGTGATTGCATCGATCGCTGCGAAGTTTATTGTCTTGACACGGCTGTTTCGACATTTACTAAATTGAATGAGGGTTCAAACTCTTAGAAATAGGCGAACAAGGTGCCGCTGGATAGGGTCGCATTTTCACGACAACATTGACTTTTATGGCGTTGCATTTTCAGCTATTTTTAATAGAGTTACTAGAACGGGGTTACACATTTTTGAGATTTCAGGCGTAAGAAAATTATGGCAAGTAAGGATTCATTTAGGAGGAAGATTCATGGGAAAAGAGTTGTTACCATATTTTAATATTTAATAAGCGGCTCCAAATCCATTCCGGTCTTGCCCAAAAGCGGACAAAGACGGGGTCTATAACTGGCCACAACATAGGTTGAAATACGGCAGAGGTTCTGAGAGGCTAGCTGCACATACCCAGTAAAAAATGACCCATGTACTTCCCCCCCGGGGGGGCTTTCCATCACATACTCAAGTGCTATAATTTCTATACTTGCAATGGTTCTACTTTCTATCGTTTTTTAACACCTTAGTTTACTGATAGTAACTTTACAAGGACAGATCTCTTTAATTATTTTTCTACGAGTTGGCCACAGACGCCCTTTGATTATTTTCTTAACTGAACCTTTGATGGCAGTCAGTGTCTTTCATAATTTGATTCTCATTTTATCATTGATAAAAATTGAACACTCACAGAATTTTTAACTGCCTGATTTCGTTGAAGTTGTTGATGGAAACATTCCTCAATTCGTTGTCAAAGAGTTCTCTTACAAAAAAGATGAAAAGAAAACAATTAGCTATGATATAATTTTTGTGCATTGATGTACGCCTCTCAAACTGATAAGTACGATTATTAGAAGATACTGAGATACCACTTCGATCAAATTAAGCACAAATGAACTTCACATTCTACTTACAGAATCAGAAGCTCCTTTAGGCCTTTAAAAATTCCTTCTGGCAAATTTCCGAGTTTGTTTCCCGACAGATAGCTAATGAGGAAAGGAAGAAAATAAAATGTATGGCGAACTTCAGGAACGGGACATCGATAACGTTTTTCATAAGTAGGAAGAAAATTTACAAACATTTTTAAATGTAATCACACACATTTTTTTCAGTTTTTGGACTTTTTGAGAGGAGCATCGTCATTGCAGGAACTTTATGTACAAGTTGTTACTGAAAATTTGTCTACATTATATCTAACCCAGCCTACAGGTTTTCCAGTATTCTCCACAGACCCTCCGCATGCATTTATATTACGTATTCCGGAAAAACGTGGGGAAGTTGTAACACAGGGCCTTAAATTTTCTGAAATATGGAAAACTTGATCGGTTCAAGCGTTTTCTGCACGAAATTGCGATGAGGAAAAAGTCTGTCAATCAGGCAAAGTCAGCCTACATGCAGAAACCAGACCCATAGGAAACTCGAATCAATACATTAACTACTTACAGCTCAGACAGCTGTGCCAGTCCGCGAAATTGTTTTGGATGGAGCTTTATTAACTTATTTTCCTCTATTTTTCTGTTAAATTGTAAAACAGAAACCTGTTAGTGACCAACCTTCTTCTTAATTTGAAATTTGAATTGGTGCTAGCGTGCCTTTCGATTACGATTTCTCCACCCCAAGCCAAAGTAGCCGCAATAACCAATTAAAAGGAAGAAATTGACGAAGGCAATCAGAACTAAAAATAATACAAACAAGCACATGGCTTTAAGTTTCAGTGATGGTTCATGACCAAGTTGAGCCTGGTTTTAGCTTTGAATCCAATTGGTTGAAAAGGCGGCGCATGTTTTTAAATTAATGATAAGGGTGATGAAAGCAAAACGAGAGCAATCCTCGATTGATTTTGACAATAAATTGTAGTACATTGATCCATCCTAGACCTCACATAGCTCTAAAATCGTCCAGTTCGAAAGCAATTTAAACATGGTTACAATTCTTTTCCGTAATTTGACATTCAGGATCTTTGTTAATGTTCTCTTACTGTTTTATTTCCCAAGTTGATAAATCAACTGACAGCTTATTAATATTTCAAGATTTCTATCTCTACTCACAATGCCTTAAGCTTGGTCAGGTTATCAAATATCGTTGATGGTAATTCTCCAATTTGGTTTTTGGATAAAAACCTGCAAGTACGAAACAGTAAGCCAGACATTGACGAATGATAGGCTTCAGTGTATGGAAAACACCTGTCATTTGCGTTTAACGGCAAAACAAAATGGTTCCCATAACATATGATTGTAACTGGTAAGATTGACGGTATTTTTTACGATGCAAACGATACAAAGATATGTCCTTGGCATTCATTCAGAGAGAGACGTTTTGATGAACATGTTTAATTAGATCAAGTCGATATACATAATTTTATAACATTATTGTAATTAAGTTCAAAACTTCTATTTCTTGCGTTATTGAATTTCAGGCAAATTGAGAACTTTTCGTAACTCGAACATGCTTAGGATGAGAACCGCTTTCCTTGTTGTGGCTGTTTTAGTTTTGTAATGTTTTTATTGTTGACTTACAGGTTTTTGAGATTTGTAAGGTTGCTAAAGACGTTTTGTGGCAGATTCTCAACCTTATTACTAGACAGGTCCCTGAAAGGTTCAAGGGGAAATGCATAAGAACTTTCAGAAAATTCAGAAAAAAATAACATCAGCCGGAATGTAATTCGCACGAAAAGAAGACAGTAAGAGGAAACAGCCAGACAGCTCTTGCGCTACATTTCACCAGACGCCAGTCTATCTTCATACTTAACGTAGGAAGAGCACTGAGCTACTCCAGTTATATTTAGATTTCAGGCTTTTTACTCAAGCATCCTCACGCATATAACTCATAGCATAACTACCGCGGAGGACCACGTACCGGTCAGATCGGGACGAGAGAGAGAGAGAGATGTGAGAGAAAGTTCATTAAAATATTCAAATTCGCAGCCTTTTTTAAGACTGACTTACGTGAAATTTACAAAAAGTTAAAGTCATATACGCATTTTTAAAGTAATAATCTTGTGTAATATAAAATGATTCTAAAAAACACCATGTACGAAAGTTCCATTGTTTGGAAATGAATTGAATAAATGTGTTCTCGTAACGATCAGTGCGCATTTTGGGAACATGAAAGTGCGCTGTTTGGAATAAAATTATATCCTGTGATGTCCTTGGTTGGTAGCTGATGATGGAGTTTACGAGCAGTACTAGATATGGCTAATAAAAGAATTTATAACACTCTTCTTTGCGCTTGTATTTCAAAGTTCTGATGTTGTAAATGCTCGATTGTAATGATATGAAACGCCAGGAGAAATTACGAGAAAGCACGCGTGTCTGATCACGCTCTAATGCAGGTATTATGAGCCGGAACGTTTTCTCGCTCCAGCAAGATCAAGAAATGTGTGAGCTTATTGGCCGTTTTGATTACATCAGAGACTAGACAATTTCACTGAAAGTTATTATATATGGTTACCCCTAATATGTGGTTTTGGCAACAAGTTCAAGGTCCTCGGAGTTGACGAATACGGCGTCGAAATGGTGTTGGTTCTCTTGAAGTCAATAATCAATTCTTTACACTTATCTGAGTTCATCTAAAGATTTTTGTAAGGACACTACTGCTTTACTTCTGTTACAGCGCTTTGGATTGCACTTCTACTACCTTTTGGAGATGAGAGCATGCAGCGTAGAAGATTTTGGGGTAACGCCGAATTGGCTCGGATCGTTCTTCTCAGGGTAGCTAGGCCTTCGTAGATACTTGCTCGGCCAACTCTGACAGAGCCAGGTTTACCGAGATTGGTCTTATATATGATGGTGATAAGATCGAGTGGAGTCCAATTCGGTCTGTAATCATTCGAGTGATTGACAAAATCGGACGAACGCGAAGCGGGAGTCCATTTGTCAATCACGAGTATAATTTCAGACAGAATTGGACGACACGAACTCCTGTTACCAATTAATCAAAACCATAACAATTTCCGAAAAAAAATTTAGGACAAACATATCCAGTAGGGACAATGGCTAAAGCAAAAAATTTGGAAATTTCCCAGTTTTTTTTTCAGAGTAAGTGATTGTTGCTATGGTTATTGTGATCAATTCTGTGATTGGTGAATTTAGCTAAGTGGACTTCATATGATTGGCTGCTTCAACTGTCCGATCACAGGTGTCCGATTACAGCCAACTGTCCCGTTACACGGTCCAATTACACCTGCACAGAGTGATTAGTAAAATATAAAGCAGCTGATGCAACTTGAGGGGATTTCTTTTCAAATGCTTTTTCCATTTAAAGGAGGAGAACATTGAAAGAGTCAATATTTTTTGCAAACACAGTTCTTTTTTATCATACTCACAGCTCTTCCAAACTAGTCAAATCTTTGAAAACGTGTTTAGAAAGCTTCCTGATTCCGTTATTTTGCAGCCATCTGATAAAAAGAATAACACGGCAATGATAGGTAAATGTTTTCATATCTTCAGATTTATGACGAGTTTTCCAAACTTATTTCACAAACACAAGACTGGTAAACATCCTGAATTATTTACTTTTTGTTAAAGTTGATTTCTAAAAGTTTCGATTAGTCTGGCTCTTATTATTTTGTTAAGTTACTGGAACATCCTTACTACGCATTATTTTGCTCATTCATCCAACAAAAATATAAAAATTAAGGTATAAAATAATGACTCCTACAGCAATATTTTTGTATTTTTTCTTTCTTTCTCAGTAGCTTGTTATTTTTTCCACCTTCAATCTGCAGGTGTCCAATTTGTCACACAAATAATTTTAACTATTACCATTTTTCTTTTCTTTACTCACAGTCGTGTCAATGCTCTTAAACCATCAAACAAACCCTCTGGTAACTCTGTTTGGTCGTTGTCGTTAAGTTGTCTGTAGAGGAGAAGGGTTAAAAAAGTGTTACAATTACTTTAGTTCAAATTTGCTGGAAAACACAATATTTGGGCCGATAGGCTCCCCAAAGCTCAAAATTTTGGAACCAACATATTGAATTTTATGCGACCCTTATTTTAATTTGCGACTCAAAACAGATTCGTACGAGGCTTTTGAGGTACCTGATCTTGTAACTCAGATCTTGTCTGCTGTTAGATTTAGCTGTTATATCTTTGATCGTTGATTGGGGGCGTTCGTTATCGGTCTGTTTGTTACGTAGATATTCAAGGGTTGAAGTATGTGATCGATGCAAAGGAATATGCACCATTTGAATTATGATGTGAGCTGTGACACTTGTAATAGGTGAGATACGAGGACGACTTTCCACTTACAGCCACTGCAGCTTAATTAACTGGGAGAATGGATTGCTTCTCAAATTCTTGATCTTGTTGCCGTATAACAAACTGTAAGGTAAGAAAGCTTGTTTTAACAATCCTTAGTAAAGTATAAATCTTGTTTGCATTTGACTGTGGTATTGGTGTGAAAAGAAGTGCGAAGTGCAAGCCTGTTCTGAGAAAGAACACTGTAATCTCCTTTTCATACTGGCAAATAAAACAAAGTTATGAAAGGAATAAAAATTGAATTTATAAAACGTGGACCAACGTCAGATGTTAGGATATGATCATCTATGAAACTGAAAGGATTGTTTAATGAGGATAGGTTTCTCTTTTCTGTTTAACTCCGTCCATCTATGAACTGTCCCACTCTCTTTCACCCTTTTAACGGCTGACTACACCTACTAAGCTTCAGGACCTTCTTGATCACATTTAGTTGACAATGAGATAAAACTCTTGGCACATCAAAGGCTATCATCACAAGAGCCAGGAAAAATCAATTACGCACAGTTTGATCAACTCGGTGTTGTTATTGAAGACTCCAGTTGGCAGCTCCTCTATCTGGTTGTTACCCAATTCCCTAAGAAAATATTCCCTAATTTCAGTTAAAAGTGTCATTTTTTAGAAATTGTTGCTATTGCAGGTTTTTATTTTTTTTTCTGTTGGATTAATAGTCTGTTTATGTCGTGCCCGGATCAAACGAGTGCTTTGCTATAACATTGATATATTTGTTACATCTTGATATCTATCAACGCTCCTAGCATAAGGCGCTTTTAAAACTCATCGATTATTAAACAAACAGCAAAAGATATTACGTACTTCGACGAGTTTCGTCTCACTGTCAGACTTCTTCAGGGAGTTTTACGAGTTTTGTATTAGAAATTGCTGCTATCGCAAGTTTTTTTATTTTTCTTTTTTCTGTTGGATGAACAGTTTATTTGTGTTGTGCCCGGATAAACACACGCTTATGCTAGTTGTAAAACTTCTTTATTCTTTGACGCGTTTCGTCTTACTGTCATAGACTTCTTCGGGGAGTTTTGCAAGTTAATGCTAAACACTTGTATTAAAAAGCCATACTATGGCTATAACGGGGGCCAATGACCATATAGGCTTGGCAGGGCTTACGAACAGAAACAGGCGACATTTTGGAAAAATTAAAGAATAATTTAGCGGCGAGGTGAGAAAAATATTTGGGGGCTAACTGATAAACGAAAAGCGTCGTAGAATAAACAAGTTTTACCACTACTGTTCGCAGAGAGCTGCTCAGTAGTTTAGTTTTTTAAAAAATTGTTCTTAACAATTTTTTGAATTTTTAAAAAAGGTTAATTAAAATATTTTTTTTAAAAATTGGGTTTGAACCTAATGGTAAATTGAGAGTAACTTGATTGTAACTTCTCAAACTTATTGTCTTGTTGAAAATTAGCTAGTAAATTTTGTTCCTCTGCAATGTACTGGGACATTAAAATTAAGCTATTCGGATATCTGGTAAGATTTAGGACCATGATTTGGTGATAAAGGATAAATTTCTCCTTCTAAACAATTTGTGACTGTAATAGGATCGATGACTTTGGAAAAGAGATTGAAACCAGGATTTGTTCAATTGTGAGCTGGGATATTGGATTTGTATCCCACCAGTTTGTACTTCGATGTTTTATTCCAGTGATGGGATCTTTATTAATCGTTTAAAAATGTGTCGTGGAACATACATTAAACAACGTTTTTGCTGACGGTTACTAGTTTGATAAGAAATGTTTGAATATCTAGTTCAAGAGAGTCAGCTTCGTGTCTGAGCTTAACTGCCATATGGTTTACAACAATCACTGAACTTGAATAAATGTTTACCCACATTTCGTAGATCAAGATATTCTCATGACATTTGCATGAATATAAGCAGAACGAAATCCATAAATCAAGGGTTCTGTATTAGACGCTTTAAAATGGGTGTCTTTGAGCATGTAATAGAGTTTATTAATGAAGCGGCCTGTAATAAGGATTTTGCTGAGGATAACTGGATCGGATAGGGAGACGAGGATCACCCCGTGAAAACAGGCACTTGGAGCTACAGAATGTACTTAATAAGAAATGACTGAACATACATGTAATTCAAGGGAGTGCGCTTCATGCTTGAGTTAGCGAGAAGTAGTGTTGTTGACTGAGTTCAAGAGCTAGTTACCAAGGCGCTCTCTGAACTACGAGTGTCTAAGCATAAGACACGTCAATATGCACGTAGTATAATAAAATCTGCTTATCAGAAATGAACTCACCGAATCGGTTACATAAAAAATTTATCACCATACTGATTCACGAAATTCTTAGCACATTACAATGGTGGTGCAAAATAAAGGTAACCTGTTCAATCTTTTATGAAACTGAAAGTGATTAATTAGAGAGGGGAAGTTGCTCTATTCATATGCCTTGGGCCACTGTGTCACTTTGCAAGTTTGATTCACGCCACCCGTAAGTTTTGTTTATTCATTATCTACTGGAGATGACGATCAGTCTTATGTTAACCAGCGACTGATTGAAAGTGAGTCTTGTGACACTTGAAAAAGTTTTTAAGTGAGGAAGAATTTTCACTTACAGCCACTGCAGCTTGACTAATTGGGAAAATAAGTCGCCTGGCAAATTCATCAACTTGTTGCCGTTTAACCACCTGTAAGTTTTGGAAACTTTGTATCAACAATGCGTGGAAATTTATAATTCCTGTTCGCGTTCGGCCGTAATACTAATGTGAAAAGAAATGCAGAGTGCGAGACCCGTTCTTCTGAAAGGAAACGCTTGCAGGTGCCTCCCTCTTCATACTGGCCACGCCCATGCAAATTGATAAAACAAAGTTAGCAAGGGAATAGAAAATAGGATTTACAAAACGAGGGCCACTGACATATGCTAGGAAATGATCATTGATTCAACTGTCTAAATACAAACCTTCCTACCCTCTTTCATTGTCTTCATGGTTGACTACACCCACTAAGCTTGAGGACTGTCATGATCGTATCAAGTAAACACTGACACGACACTCTTAGCACATCGAGGGTTAATATTAAGAATGGGCGTGGATAATCGTTACTTACAGGCCCCTGAACTCAGTGTTATTATAGAAGACTCCAGCTGGTAGCTCTTTTATTGCGTTGTTACTTAGGTCCTTAACAGGAGATATTCCATGATTTTAGTTAGAATCATATTACCTCCTGCGTGTTACTACCTGAGCAAACAAACCGTTCTTCCCTCTTTCATTCTCTTCATGGTTGGCCACACCCACTGAGCTTGAGGAGCGTCTTGATCATATTAAGTAAACACTGACATTACACTCTTAGCACATCGACGGTTAACGTAATAAAAATGGGCGTGGATATCTGTTACTTACAATGTGATCAATTCAGTGTTATTATTGAAGACTCCAGATGGTAGCTCTTTTATCGCATTGTTACTTAGGTCCCTAGGAGGAGATATTCCATGATTTTAGTTAGAATCATATTACTTTCCGCGTGTTACTGCCTGAGTAAATTTATCAACTTGTCAATTTATCAACTTGTCAACTTGCCGTTCTTCTCTCTTTCATTCTCTTCATGGTTGGCCACACCCACTGAGCTTGAGGAGCGAATTGACCATATTAAGTAAACACTGACATTACACTCTTAGCACATCGAAGGTTAACATAATAAAAATAAGCGTGGATATCTGTTACTAACAATGTGATCAATTCAGTGTTATTATTGAAGACTCCAGGTGGTAGCTCCTTTATCTGGTTGTTACCCAAGTACCTAAGAGAAGATATTCCATGACTTTAGTTCAAATTATACTCATATAGGCAGGTGGTTAAACAGCAACAATTTGAAGAATTTGCCAGGCGACTTATTTTTCCAATTAGTCAAGCTGCAATGCCTGTAAGTGAAAAGTCGTCCTTACATATAAACTATTTCAAGTGTCACAAGATGTACTTTTAATCAATCGCTTGTTAACATTGAAATTGAGTCTTGTATTGGAGGACGAGTTTTCACTTACAGCCACTGCAGCTTGACTAATTGGGAGAATAAGTCGCCTGGCAAATTCATCAACTTGTTGCTGTTTAACAACCTATAATTTTCGGAAACTTTGTATCAACAATGCGTAGAAATGTATAATTCCTGTTCGCGTTCAGCCGTAATACTAATGTGAAAAGAAATGCAGAGCGCGAGACCCGTTCTTCTGAAAGGGCACGCCTGCAGGTGCCTCCCCTGCAGAGTGCGAGACCCGTTTTTCTTAAACGAAACGCTTGTAGGTACCTCCCTCTATATACTAGCCACGCCCATGCCAACTGATAAAACAAAGGTAGCAAGGGAATAGAAAAATAGGATTTACAAAACGAGGGGCACTGACATATGCTGGGAAATGATCATTGATTAAACTGTCTAAATACAAACCTTCCTACCCTCTTTCATTGTCTTCATGGTTGACTACACCCACTAAGCTTGAGGACTGTCATGATCGTATCAAGTAAACACTGACACTACACTCTTAGCACATCGAAGGTTAATATTAAGAATGGGCGTGGATAATTGTTACTTACAGGCGGATCAACTCAGTGTTGTAATGGAAGACTCCAGATGGTAGCTCTTTTATCGCGTT